CTGCCCCAGCCTCCTGAGTCGCTGGGATTACAGGCATGCGCCACCATGCCCAGCTAATTTTTTGTATTTTTAGTAGAGACGGGGTTTCACCATGTTGACCAGGAAGATCTTGCTCTTTCACCCACACTGGAGTGCAGTGGCACTGCCCCAGCTCACAGCAATCTCTGAGGCCTCCTAAGTTCAAGTGATTCTCCTGCCTCGGCCTCCCGAGTAGCTGGGATTACAGGCATATGCCACCATGCCTGGCTAATTTTTGTATTTTTAGCTGACATGGGGTTTCCCCGTGTTGGCCAGGCTGGTCTTAAACTCCTGACCTGAAGTGTTCCACCCGCCTTGGCCTCCCAAAATGCTGGGATTACAGGCAGGAGCCACAGCGCCCAGCCAAGCAACCTCATTTAATACATCAAAATGCCTCCGTAGGTGCCTACTGATTGTGCTTTTCCGACTTTAACCACTGACTTCCTGCTGTGACAGATGGGCATCAGCCTTTCTTAGAACTACCCTCTCCCCCTCAAGGGAACATAACCTTTTCTCAAGCTTTGACACTGTATTTCCTTTCATGAGCTTTAAAATGTAGGCTGTTTTACTGCTTCCTCCTAATAAAGAGATTCAAATAATCAAGAAATTTACTTCTCTATTTAGAGGAAAAGTTTTAACTGAATTACTTTGTTTTTGGGATATACAGTGTTTGCGTCTGCAAGAAAGCATAGTCAGAGATCCTTCAGTCTGTCACCAGAGGGTATGGGGTTGGCAAGGGATGAGGACTTTGTCATTTTACCTGATGCACATTCTTAGATTCTGTTTTTCTTGCAATGGATATGTATTCCTTTTTTCCTTTTTTAAAAGGTAGGGTCTCACTCTGTCACCCTGGCCGGAGTGCAGTGGTACAATCATAGCTTACTGCAGCCTCAAACTCCTGGCCTCAAGTAATCCTCCTGCCTCAGCCTCCCAAGTAGCTAGAATTACAGGTGTTTACCTAGCTATTTTTTTTTTTAATTTTTCGTAGAGATGAGGTCTACCAATGTTGACCAGGCTGGTCTCCAACTCCTGGCCTCAAGTGATCCTCAGCCTTCAATGGTGCTGGGATCACAGGCATGAACCATCACACCCAGCTACATATCATTTTTCATAATGTTTTATTAAATTATTTTTAAATGTTTTAGACTTCTCCCACCTTGCCTTTTGCAGATACTATGGAAGGAAGGCAAGATGACCGAAGAAAGAGGAACACATTATTAGAAATGAGAGAAAATATTTGCCTATAGATGAAGGTGTATTCAAAGGGGGACGAGCAAATCATTTTAGATCTATTATAAATATCATAAATAAAAAAGGATAACCCAGTTAGAGGACCACAAAGTGTGCCAAGTATTCACAAAATAGGCCAAACTGAAGCTCAGCAGAGCAGAACGGTTAAAAGAGCAAAATAAATTGAAGAGAGAATTTTTGGTATTAGAATAAAAATAGAAACAAGGCCGGGCGCGGTGGCTCACGCCTGTAATCCCAGCACTTTGGGAGGCCGAGGCGGGTGGATCACGAGGTCAAGAGATCGAGACCATCTTGGTCAACATGGTGAAACCCCNACCTTCTCATGTTGCTGTGATTAGGGAATGATTGTTGCTTCCAAAAGTCTCCTCATTTGCTAATGAATATGGAATGCTTTTCATATATATATAAAACAAATATATGAAAATTATATAGATGAACATTATATATATGCAAATTATGCATAAATGCTTCATTTAAGACTTCTGTTGCTCTTTGATTTTTGAAAAAAAAAAAAAAAAAAAAAAATAGAAACAAAATTGACACTTAAAGTTTGGATTAATACATGATCATAGTGGTGTTCTTAGACTTAATTCTGTAACACTTTCTCATTTTAGGGTAGAAATCCATACATTTATTAGATCCAGGATATCGGCATTTCATTTTTTTGCTTGTTTAGGGAATCACCTCATGATAACTAAAATCATACCATGACAGCTGCATCACTTAGCCTCTCTGACAATTAAATTAGACCTCACTTTGCAGCTTAGATACTTTTCTCTTTTTTTGAGACAGAGTTTCGCTCTTGTTGCTTAGGCTAGAGTGCAATGGTGTGATCTTGGCCCACTGAAACCTCTGCTTCCTGGGTTCAGGCGGTTGTCCTGCCTCAGTCTTCTGAGTAGCTGGGATTACAGGCATGTGCCACCATGCCCGGCTAATTTTGTATTTTTAGTAGCGATGGGGGTTTCTCCATGTTGGTTAGGTTAATCTTGAACTCCTGACCTCAGGTGATCCACCCACCTGGGCCTCCCAAAGAGCTGGGATTACAGATGTGAGTCACCGCGCCTGGCCTATATTTTTCTTGAAAATTATCCATCATGAAGAATATTTTAATGGAATCCCTTAGCCACATACCTTCAAGGAGATTCGATGCTTAAATGTATAGAGAGCCTTTCTGCAAAGCAATAAACCCTTTGGAAATTAAATGCTCATCTTTCTGTTTACCTCTATCCTAAATACAGATCCCTACAAGTTGTTGATAACCAAACATTTCTGCCTTATCAGTGATCTGCACTATAGCCCACAGCCCCAGGGATGGAGTGGGAATGATGGGCTCACCCCAAATTACTTCCTTCCACAGTGGCTTTCACTGAACAGGGCTGCCTTATGGGAACTCCTAAGAGGGCCTTACCTTCTGATGTAGAGCCTCTGCTGTTCCATCCCCAGCCTGCTCCCTTTTCTGGGCAGCTGGCTAGGTGGCATGGTGGAGACAGCACGGGTCTGGCAGCCAGACAGCCTGGATCGGACTCTGTGCCCCATCACTTCCCTCTATGATCCTGGGCAAACTGTGCCTCAGTTTCCACATCTGTAACACAGAATACCTCTCTCATAGTGAGAGGAATTCAACAAAGCCCATGAGTTGTTCTAATTCATGTCAGCTGTGACCCTTACTTTCACCAGCCCTCCCAAAAAGTAGAAGCACATGGTCAGAGGCCAGAAACCAGGAAGGGACCACAATTTTGAACTCAGCTCGGAAAGTATCAGGCAACTGATGAGCATAGCGGACAGAAAGGGCTGCAGTGGAGAGCGCTGATGAGGCGGAAATGCTTGGTTCTGAACAGCCTGTGGGGATCCGTATTTCGGATACAGGTGGTGAGAAAGGAGGGGGATTTGAAGAACAGTGATGGGAACAGGTCAAAGAAGCATCAGAGGTAACAGTGCCCTGGCATTAAATGGCTCCTATTGGTGACTAATAGTGCACGTGATTTAGAAAAAAACAAGTTGTTCCTGGGTCTGAATAACCACTCTGCTTTTTGGCCCCACAGCTCTGAATGAAGAAGTCAGCCACTTTGAAAAGCAGAAGGTATTTATTTTACTGTCCACAGTGTTGACCTGGGCAAAATCCAAATCCCTGGACCCCGTAAGTAGAGTGTTAGCTTTCCTTTAGGTAACATTTTACCCTTAACACCTTGTAATCTGTGTGCAGAGGAAGCTTCCTACAGCGAGTTGTATATTCTCACACTCCTGAATCCTATTCCATAGAAAACACCCAACAGAGTTCATTGCCTCTAAGCACATTCAATTCTAAGGGATTCCATTGTTTTATATGCCTCTAAGAAAGAAAAATATGCTGCTTATGAAACTATAGCAAAGCTTATTTATCACTTATACTTTGTATTTTAATCATATTGAAAGAGCTCTCTTTTAGACTTACTTAGACCCATATTGCTGTCACGTAACGTTCTTGTGCATACATTAAAAAGAAAATATAGGCTGGGCTCAGTGGCTCAGGCATGTAACCCCAGCACTTTGGGAAGCTGAGGCGGGTAGATCACCTGTGGTCAGGAGTTCAAAACCAGCCTGGCCAGCATGGTGAAACCCCGTCTCTACTAAAAATACAAAAATTAGCCGGATGTGGTGCTGGGTGCCTGTAATCCCAGCTACTTGAGAGGCTGAGGCAGGAGAATCGCTTGAAAACCAGAAGGCGGAAGTTGCAGTGGGCCAACATGGCACCACTGCACTCCAGCCTTGGGTGACAGAGTGAGACTCCATCTCTAGATAAATAAATAAATAGAAAATATATGTAAAATACAGTGATTATAGTGTTCCCAAAACTTCCTCATATTCAGACTCTATCTCTGAATCACACCACATTCTTTTTCCGTACAACTCAATATAAAACCTGAATCATGTCATTTGTTTGTAGTACCTTCCTATAAAGTACATGGTTATTATGTTGCAAGAGAACATGAACCACATTCTTCGAACATTGCTTATTCTCTTGACTAACGTCAAATTGGCATTTGCTGCTGTGTTCCCGTGCCTGTGTGCCTACGCACTACCTTTCCATTTCAGTGCTGAGTCACAGTGTATTCTTTCAAAAGGCAATGAAATCAACTCGAGTAGTACCTGAGACAACTTGAAGTGATAACAATGGCAACAGTATGTTCAAAGTCACTGAGTCACCCGTAGCCATGCTGCCAGTGCTTCCTGGCTGACCACAATGATAAGCCATTGATTCCAGATGTGTTCTAATTTCAGAAATGATAATGTGAAAAAGTGCATGTCATGGTCAGTGAATATTATACATAACAAGGAGATATTTAGGGATTCATCACACTTATTGCATCAAATGGTATGTAGTTGTTTAATTGCCTCAGTCCTTGAGGGCAGGGACCATAGGTTTCATGCTCTTTCCTTGTAAAGTTTACTTACCTGCTTTGGATGCCATCACCTCAAGGAGCAGGCCATGGTCATTTTATTCCTGTTACAATCCCTTCCTTCAGAGTGTCCAGCTAAGTGTCCACTATAAAATAATTGTGAATTGATGGACTGGCTGATCACTGTGCTAGCGTCCTGACTGACTGTCCCAACCAAGATAAGCAAAATAATGAAGAAGTCCAATAACAGACTTCAGGAATGGCTGGACCCAGAGGATTCAACAATGTCCTCAATGCTCACCAAATCTCTCTCTTTCTTTTATGGTTTCTTTTCTACTCTGAGTAGACTTCACTCTCTAGTAAGCCTGCCCCACCTTCTGGCTCCCAGCAACTCCCAGGCAGACATCCGACAAGCTTCAATTCCCTTTTCCCACTGTAGATCATGTCCCATCCTAGGACTGGAATGTGTGTTTGGGCAGGTCTTCAGTCATGAGCCTAACCTTGGACTAGTCACTGTGGCCAGGGGCATGACTGGGCAGACCCGGGATCATATACCCACTTAGACAGCCAGGGATGATCAGCCCCCTACACTGCATGGACTGAGAGTGGAGAAGAGAAGGGTCCCCAAAGAAAACATGGGGCAATGGCTCCTGAGTTAGCTCCTGTGTCCTTTTGGCATGCCCTTCTCCTCTCACTGTGGTTATAGTTTGCATTTCCCCAGTGACGAATGATGGTTTTCAAAGTCAGATTTATCAAGATATAATCAATGTACTAGGCCAGGTGTGGTGGTACATGCCTATAATCCCACCACTTTGGGAGGCAGAGATGGGAGGATTGCTTGAGGTCAGGAGTTCAAGACCAGCCTGGGTAACAAAGCAAAACCTCATCTCTACAAAAAATACAAAAATTAACCAGGCACAGTGGCGCACCTGTAGTTTCAGCTACTCAGGAGGCTGAGGTGGGAGGACTGCTTGAGCTGCGGAGGTCGAGGCTGCAGTGAGCTGAGATCATACCATTGCACTCCAGCCTGGGTGACAAAGTGAGACCCTGCCTCAAATAAATACATAAATTTACTGTTTTATAGTCCTGAGTTTCCACAAATGCATACAGTTGTGAAACCACCACAGCAATCAGGATACAGAACACTTTCATCATTTTCAAAACTTCTCTACCTCATGCCACACACAAAGTCAATTCCAGGTGGATTACATAACTAAGATTAAAAGGCAAAACTTTAATCTTTTTTTTTTTTTTTTGAGACAGAGTCTCGCTTTTGTTGCCCAGGCTGGAGTGCAATAGCATGATCTCAGCTCACTGCAACCTCCACCTCCAGGTTTAAGCAATTCTCCTACCTCAGCCACCCAAGTAACTGGGATTACAGGCATGTGCCACCACACCGGCTAATTTTTTGTATTTTTAGTAGAGATGGGGTTTCTCCATGTTGGTCAGGCTGGTCTCGAGCTCCCGACCTCAGATGATCCGCCCACCTCGGCCTCCCAAAGTGCTGGGATTACAGGCATGAACCACCGCACCCAGCCATAAAACTTTAATTTTTAAAGAAAAATTAAGCCTGGCACAGCAGCTCACGCCTGTAATCCCAACACTTTGGGATGCTGAGGTGGGCAGATCACTTGAGATCAGGAGTTTGAGACCAGCCTGGTCAACATGGTGAAACCCTGTCTCTACCAAAAAACACAAAAATTAGCTGAGTATGTGGTACACACCTATAGTCCCAGCTACTCAGGAGGCTGAGGTGGTAGAATTGCTTGAACCTGAGAGGCAGAGGTTGCAGTGAGCAGAGATCGCTGCCACTGCACTCCATCCTGGGTGACAGAGTGAGACCCTGTCTCAAAAACGAAAAAAAGGAAAAATAGTAGAACTGATGGAGGATTCCTCAAAGAAGACCAAATGCTGCTAAATATTTTTTGATTGAGAAATCTACCTGCAGTAGGATTAATGAAGTAATAAATAATATTTGTGTTTGAGATTTACTTCTAAATAATCCAGGAGGATGAGGAAGTTAGTGGGGGTACAGATAGAACAAGACCAATCATGCAAAACAAGTTTATTCCCAACAAGTCTAATTGAAGGGGGCGTGGCAGAAGGAGATGTGGCATCGTTTGAAGTCAGAGTGAGCTGAGTAACACTTGTGCTTGTAAGCAACAGAATCCAGCTTGCTTGCTTGCTTTTTTTGAGATGGAGTCTCACTCTGTCACCCAGGCTGGAGTGCAGTGGTACAATCTTGGCTCACTGCAACCTCTGCCTCCTGGTTCAGGTGATTCTCCTGCCTTAGCCTCATGAGTAGCCAGGATTGCAGGTTCATGCCACCACACCCAGCTGATTTTTGTATTTTTAGTAGAGATGGGGTTTCACCATGTTGGTCAGGCTGGTCTCAAACTCCTGATCGTAATCCACCGACCTCGTGATCCACCCGCCTCGGGCTCCCAAAATGCTGGGATTACAGGTGTGAGCCACCACGCACAGCCGAATCCAGCTTTCTTAATCAGAAAGAGGATATGTTAGAAAGATATAAACAATGTCTTACAAAATCAACGGTCAGAGATGCCACTGGGCATCGAGGGCTGGGAGCCAGGGGGAACTCAGTAAATCCTCCCACACTTTCCTCTCTGCTTTTCTCTGTCTCCTTGTCATCATCACAGGAAGTCTTTTTTGTTTTGTTTTGTTTTTAGAGATGAAGTCTATAAAACAGAGACCTCTAAAGAAGGGTTTCCTCTGCCAGACTTCCTAGGGTTGGCTTTTGAAAGGAGAGTTCTAGCTGGACTCTAAATCGTAATCCCTGTAAGATAGACTTGGGATGGGTAGACGAAAGGTGAGCTGCAAGGACTCCTGGTACTTTCTTTTTTTACATTTTTATTTTTATTTTGAGACGAAGTCTCGCTCTGTCGCCCAGGCTGGAGTGCAATGGCACAATCCCGACTCACTGCAACCTCCGCCTCCCAGGTCCAAGCAATTCTCCTGCCTCAGCCCCCCGAGTAGCTGGGATTACAGGCGCCCGCCACCACACTCAGCTAATTTTTGTATTTTTAGTAGAGACATGGTTTCACCATCTTGGTCAGGCTGGTCTTGAACTCCTGCCCTCAGGTGATCCACCCACCTTGGCCTCCCAAAGTGCTGGGATTACAGGCATGAGCCACCGCGCCTCACCCTGACTCCTGGTACTTTCTTAGCTCCCCCTTGGCCTTGCAGTACTTTTTTTTTTGGACAATCTTGCTGTGTCACTCTGGCCGAAGTGCAGTGGCATGATCTCAGCTCACTGCAGCCTCCGCCTCCCAGGTTCAAGTGATTCTCCTGCCTCAGCCTCCTAAGTAGCTGGGATTACAGGCACATGCCACCACTCCTGGCTAATATTTTGAGTAGAGACGGGGTTTCACCATGTCGTCCAGGCTGGTCTCAAACTCCTACTTCAGGTGATCTGCCCACCTCAGCCTCCCAAAGTGCCAGGATTACAGGTGTGAGCCACCACCCTCAGTCACACAGGAAGTCTTAACAGCCAAGGAAACCAGCTCTAAGTAAAGTAAGGGTCACTAACATAATAGGTTGGAAAAAATCATTGTCAGCTGATGACCTTGAAAGATAAGCTCTGTCACTAAGAAAGATGTCCCAACAGCAGCCTTTCTGAGCACCCCCAATACACAAATTGTATTTTCTAAGAATGTTTTCTGGTAGAAGTAACTCCAGGACTCTGTGGGAGGGAGTTGATACCGTGTCTTGGGCCAGTGAAAATTGGGATAGGCTGGAACCTATTGTTGATGCTTGAGAGCCAAGATCTTTTCAGAGATGTCCTGGGCAGGCCTGAGAGGACAAAGAGGGCCCCCACCAGCCATGCTGTGGGAAGGCGAGCACCAGGAAAGTGATTCTGCCTGCTGGGTGTTTTCCATCTGCCCCTCCAGGGCCACCCTCTGCTCTTCTCCACCCTGCTCTGAATTTGTGGTCTAGATCAGCAAGCAACGTTGTCCTCTGCTCCCAACTGGGTTTGGCCAATGGGACACACTGGTGAGAGAATGGGGGAATTGAGAAGAATGAGATCAGAGCACTTATCCCCCCAGCTCTCTTCTGCAGAGTTCTTTACCTCCTAGAAAGGCAGGAGGATCACTGGAACCCAGGATTTCAAGGCTGCAGTAAGCTATGATCAGGATACTGCACTCCAGCCTAGGCAAGAGAGCGAGGCCCTGTTTCTACAAAAAAGAGAAATTATATTTAATTTCTTATATATTTTTCTCTGTAGATTGTTTTCTTTACCTCCTAGAAAGAAGAAGCCTCTAAATAAGCTTAGTAATTATAACAAGATGGTAGTAAGGCAGGCTGTTTCCAGAAAAGCTGACAGCCATCGATATATAACATAACAATGAAAGGAGAACGGCTGTAATGCCTGCTAAAGGAAAGGTCAGCCGCTCACCCTTTACTGGAAAGGCAAACGATGCAAGCAGTTGGGAGGAACTAACACCCATGTTAAAGGTTTGGGTTCAAAATACACTGTATTTGTTGTTGTAACAAGTGAAATTTAAGGACTAAAGGGAACACAGCCCAGCAACTAGTCGCAAAGGTGCATAATACACAAACAGACCTATGTCCCAACCAGGAATCAAGGAATGACAGCCCAGAACCTGCAGCCCCATCTGGTTGGAATTTATGGGCTATGGAGCCACTGGCCAGAGAGAGACTGATCTTCCTTTTCTATCAGTCACATTCTCAAAATGTCAGGGGAGAGACTGGCCATCAAACCTGTGCTTCTCTCGTGGTTCACCTCATGGAATGTGACCATTTCCCTGGCAGCTGAGGACTAAGGGTGGGGCAAATCCAGAAGAGGGGTGTTGGGCCAGTCACAGGGAGCAGGAGGGGGGGTTCGGTGAGCTGGCCCACCATACCACGTGAGCCGGGGCTGCAGAGGGACCAGGACTCCATTCATCCTGAAGGCAAAGCTGACTGCACTGTTTCCAGACTCGATCTGGCAAGTGAATATCAAGGACACCCCATTAAATATGAATTTCAGATAGATAGTAGATAATTTTTTAGCATGCCCGTACCCCGTGACTAAAAAATTAGTCATTTGTTTATCTGAAATTCAAATTGAGCTGAAATTCAAATTCAGCCTCAGCCTTCAGCTACTTGGACTACTCAGGCGGTCGTGCAGCTGGGGCCTGCCTTTGCGCCTCCAATCCATCCTCCACAGCCCAGCCTCAGCTGTCTTGCTGAAATGTAATTCACAACCATGATATATCAATTAAAAAAAATGTCAAAATATCACATGTACCTCCAGAATTGGTACAAGGGTGACATACGGAGTTAAAAATACATGTACCAATCAAAAGCAAGCCAGGTGGCTAAAAGAAAGAAATACATGTATTGCAATATTATATATTACTTCAAATATGTACATGATGATATATTAAAATATGTATCAAAATATTAAATATAATTCAGATCATGTTGCTGTCCTCCTTTAAAAGCTGAAAACCCAACTGTGTTTAGTAGCTCAAGCCTGTAATTCCAGCACTTTGGGAGGCCAAGGCACGAGGATTGTTTGAGACCAGGAGTTTGAGACCAGTCTGGGCATCACAGTGAGACCCTACCTCTACAACATAAAATTTTTTTAATTAGCCTGGCATGGTGGCAAGCACCTGTAGTCCCAGCTACTCAGGAGCCTGAAGTGGAAAAACAGCTATTCCCAGGAGGTTGAGGCTACAGTGAGCTGTGATTGTGCCACTGCACTCCACCCTGGCCAACAGAGTGAGATCTTATCAAAAAAAAAAAAAAAAAAAAAAAAAAAAGCTTAAAACCCTTCCATTGCCGTTGGAATGAATCTAAACTCAGCATGGCCCAGAAGCCCTGATAATCTCCCTATCACCTACTGCACTCCTACCAATTCCCAGCTGGGCTCCAGTCATTTTCTCAGGAGCAGTCGTGCTCCTACCTCAGTAGGGGTTTACTTTCGTTTTTTGGTTTTGTTTTGTTTTTGTTTGTTTGTTTGTTTAAAAGGATTCTCGCTCCATCACCAGGCTGGAGTGCATTTGCGCAATCTCAGCTCACTGCAACCTCCGCCTCCCAGGTTCAAGCGATTCTCCTGCCTCAGCCTCCTGAGTAGCTGGGATTATAGGCACGTGCCACCAAGCCCAGCTAATTTTTGTATTTTTAGTAGAGACGGGATTTCACCATGTTGGCCAGGCTGGTCTCAACTTCTGGCCTCAAGTGATCCACCCACCTCAGTCTCCCAAAGTCCTGGGATTACAGACATGAGCCACCGCACCTGGCCTCAGTAGAGTTTTTATTGTGTGTTTCTTTGAACTCTTCGATTGTTTCCTTGTAAGTCCTTGGCTCAAATGCCTTGGATTGGTTATTTAACTTAGACCAATGTGTTGTGATTGAAAGGTTCCATATTGAACATCATATTTTTAAAACTCTGCTCCAACAAGGATCTCTGAATTTAGATAGATTTTTGCCAAATCACACTGTTGCATGGCTCTCCATTTTTTCTTTTGATTCCAGTAGGTTCTCATGTAGTTATTTTGGTTGCATCCCTCTATGGGACTTCACAGCGTGGGGGGTTGTGGAGAGACTGAATATGAGGTACGGGTCAGTGAACTGTCAAGAAATATTTTTCATTCCTCATTCCCAGGAGATACTTAATCTTAGCTAACGAAACCAGTTTTTAAAGCCTGAGCTGGCAACCTGCATGTGGAATGTTTTTTTAAACATGTTATTTATTCCAGGGAGGGCCAGTGTGGCAAAGAGAAAAAAGAAAAAACAATTTAGGTTAAAAAAATAAAACTACACGCTGGGACGAAGTGGCTCATACCTGCAATCCTACCGTTTTGCAAGGGCAAGTCGGGAGGATTGCTTAAAGCCAGGACGTGGAGACCAGCCTGGGTAACAATCTGAGGCTCTGTTTCTACAAAAAAGAAAATAAATTAGCTGGGCACAGTGGTGTGTGCCTATAGTCCCAGCTACTAGGGAGGCTAAGGCAGGAGGATCACTGGAACCCAGGATTTCAAGGCTGCAGTAAGCTATGATCAGGACACCGCACTCCAGCCTGGGCAAGAGAGCAAGGCCCTGTTTCTACAAAAAAAAGAAATTATATTTAATATTAATACCTCTATGGAATCTCAGTGGCAACCTGTTACCACCTCTGCAAAAGAAGACTTTTAGTTTTTAATTTTGTTTAGATTAAATTTAAATTATAAAATTTATCTCCTACAGCATTTTTAGGAAGAGTAAATTACTATTCAAGTAAATGGTATGGTTGGGCACAGTGGCTCACGCCTGTAATTCCAGCAGTTTGAGAGGCCAAGGCGGGAGGATCACCTGAGGTCAGGAGTTTGATACCAGCCTGGCCAACATGGCAAAACCCCATCTCTACTAAAAATATAAATAGTAGCCAGGTATGGTGGCAGGCACCTGTAATCCCAGCTGCTCGGGAGGTTGAGGCAGGAGAATCACTTGAACCTGGGAGGTGAAGGTTACAGTGAGCCAAGATCGTACCACTGCACTCCAGCCTGGGTGACAGAGCAAGAGTCCATCTCAAAAATAAATTAAATAAAAAAAAGAAAAGAAAAGAGAAGAAAAGAAAAGAAGAAAAAACAAACAAAAAAATAAATTAAATAAGCAGTATGGCCAGGCTCAGTGGTTCATGACTATAATCCCAGCACTTTGGGAGGCCGAGGCAGGAGGATCGCTTGAGCCCAAGAGTTCAAGACCAGTCTGGGCAACACAGCGAGACCCTGTCTCAAAAATAAGAACATAAAATAAGCAGTAGTTGTAAGCTTTGTTTGAGCTTAAAGGAACACATCTTTAGCCTTAGAAGTCACACATATCTCTAACTCACCAAGTCTGTACCTTTTCATTCTTTCTTATAATAGGAGGATTCTGAGGTTCCATTCACTGAAGAAGATTATCGAAGAAGGAAAGCTCATCCTAATTTTCTGGACCACATAAATGCTGAAAAAATGGTTCTCAAATTTGGAAAAAAGGTAAGTCTGTCATAATGCACCATGGACACCATCTGAAGTATTTGAACATCTCTTTGCTTAGTTTCCCGGGTCTTACACCCACAGATGTCTGAGCGTTAGACTCACCCCAGGACGCCCTGTCCTTAGGGGTCCTGGCCCAGGTTCTGGTCCAGCACACTGGGTTGAATGCCTTCCATCACCACCCAGCCGAGTTTGAGCCCTCACCTGCAAAGGGGTCTGTGTGTCTGAAAAGCTGTCTGGCCCAGAAGAGGCAAATAACCCAGAGTTGGAATGGGGAACAGGGGAACCACATTTTCCCTGTTCCCAAAATCTTTCCCGTTTGTTTCCATTTTTTTTTTTTTTTTTTTTTGAGATGGAGTTTTGCTCTTGCTGCCCAGGCTGGAGTGCAGTAACACAGTCTCGGCTCACTGCAACCTCTGCCTTCTGGGTTCAAGTGATTCTCCTGCCTCAGTCTCCCCAGTAGCTGGGATTTCAGTGGCGAGCCACCATGCCCAGCTAATTTTTTTATTTTTAGTAGAGACAGGGTTTCACCGTGTTGGCCAGGCTCGTCTCGAACTCCTGACTTCAGGTGATCTGCCCACCTTAGCATCCCAAAGTGCTGGGATTACAGGTGTGAATCACTGTGCCCGGCCCCCATTTGTTTCTTAAAACAACTCTGAAAAGTGCCTATTAACTTCATCTTACGAATAAAGAGATGGGAGCTTCCAGAGGTTAAATAATTTGCCCTAGGCTAGGTCACATAACTAGGATTTACTGAGCACTGTCCTGAGCACACCTCGGCCTCGGCCTTGGCCTCGTCTGAGCTACTCCTTATAACAAGACTATTATCTACCCACATTGTTGTCCTCGTCGCATTTCCTGGCGTGGAGCTGAGATTCAGAGCTGTCAGCCACCAAAGCCTGTGGGGTTTGCTTTTTTTACTTTGAAATCCAAAATCCCATCATTCAATAGAATTTATCTTGACACATCCTTGATCATTAAGACATTCCTGTAGCTAAGAAGTTCATGTAAACAATATTAAAAGCTTATTAGCTTTCTGTCCCAGCAAAATTCATCATTTTGATATAGCCATGATAAAATTATTTTATTTATCTTGCCTTTCATCAGAAAAGATGATGGGAATGCCCTGGCAATGAGTAAGTAGTTATTTTTTATTTATTATTTTTCATTCAGGGTTTTTGTTTTATTAGACTGTAAGGAAACAGCAGAATTAACACAAAATTCAGCAATTCCAGATCAGCTTTTCTTACCCCCATGAAGAACAGTCAGCTGAACAGACACAGACGTAGAGATATCGGATAAGCTGACAGCCAGCTCTGCTGCCCATGTAGGGGGTCATGTCCCAACAACAGTAAAGCCGCTCTGCCTTCGCCTTTTTACAGGATTGGTCTTTAAAGGGACCAGCGTGAGATACTGACACCTATTAAGGCATCTGAGAGGCCCATGTTGGGGCTGAGCCTCAATGCCAGCCGCTGGTTGTCTAGCGACAGCGCCACAAAAACATGCTGCGTGCAGCTCTGGTCTCGTGCCACAAAGGCAGAGGCAACCAATCCTTTTGTTTCTTTTTTATTTCTTTTTTAACCTCCCTTAAAGATTCTTCTTTGATGCTTTGCTCTATTACTGTAGACATGGGTCTATTTCTGCCTAATTTTTTCTTCTTTAAATTCTGGGTTGCTATTTTCATATTAACAATTTAATGACCCCATCACAATACCAAAATATCCCCCAAAATGAAGTTCAAATTTGATCAAAACATAAACCAGAGTGAGTGACTAGAATGATAAAGGCCAGGCAGCAGGAAAAGTCACCCTAAGCCACCATCTGACCACTGAAGTCTTGGCTGTCCAAAGAGGAGGGCGGGAAGAGGAGAAATCTATTGTACACCCAGCACTGAACTGGAGAACACGGCTTGGGGCCTCCTGGGCCTCCTGGACGGTCCCGGTCTCCCAGCTGCCCCCTGCTTCCCAGATTGTCCCACTTGGCCCGGTAACACGTGTTGGCCACCGGGGCCCCGGGTGTCCTTTTTACGGAAGGACATCACCTTTAATTTGCCACAGTGGTCTCCGGATTGGTTGCTGAGGATGGGCTCGTCACACTTCAGTGGCATGTGTCCTTGGGAGGCCCGGAGCCCGCATAATCGGAGAGGACTGTGCCACCGCGGACGTCATTGCCTTTCATGTTGACCCCCCAGGAAACGGTGCCATTCCTGCATTTGGGATCTTTCCTGCAGGGAGCATCTGGGCCTGTCAAGACCAAGGTGTAGAGATTCCCTGAATCAAGAGCATCCCACGAAATGCTGGTGGGTCTGTGCTTCACCCGGGTGGGCGTCGGTACTGTACCCTGCTCATCCACCGCCGCCGCGTGTCGGTGACATGCAGGGAGCGCTGCGGCTGCTCGTCCACTTCCTGCAGGCTCCAGGCGGAGCGCGCAGCCAGGAGTGCCACGAGGGGCGGAGTGGGGGTGGGGACAGGCGTGGGGGGCAGTGGCGACACAGGGGCCTCCGCCAGTTGAAAAATTAAGGAGGGCTCACTACTGTGTACTTAGCACAGCTCTCAGTGTTGTACTCATGGTACCTCATGTCATCTTCAAGAGTCTCATATACAATTCCCAAAATTCTGTGAGGCAGGTGCTACTGTCATCCTCATTTAACTTGTGGAAAGCCCCAAACCCTCTGAAAGTGCCATTACATTTTTCCCGTTAGTGGAAGACCGGCACTAAGTGAACTGCAATAATAGTTATAAGATGACACCTAGTGGTCTCAGATGATATTACCATAGGAACTTCTGTCCTGCTGTAAAAAACACTTGACCAATCCAAGCACTGTGAGTGTAAAACATTTGAAGAAACAACAGAAAATGAGGAATTCTAGACCTTTTTCTGTCCGTTAACTTATTACCTTAGCCAAGTTATTAAACTTTTGAGATTAAAATAAGTAAAAGGGCTAGATTTGATGGTTTAAATTTATTCTAGTTCTTTTTTTTTTTTTTTTTTAAACAGGGTTTCACCATGTTGGCCAGGCTGGTTTTGAACTCCTGACCTCAGGTGATCCGCCCGCCTCGGCTTCCCAAAGTGCTGAGATTACAGGCGTGAGCCACCACGCCTGGCCTATTCCAGTTCTAAATTCCGTAAATATATTACTTTATTGGAACCCGTGATTTCTTGATCATTTATGTTTAATTTACAGGTTGAAAATGTATGCTCACGCATATAAAGCTGATTCAAATGAATAACATGAAAAATATGATCATCTTTACATCTTTTATTACAAAACATTAACTTGTCATTTAAATAATAAAACCAAAATTTCATTGTAAAAATCTATTCTTTTTACCCCCAACTTTCTTAATCACTCTTTTCTACACCATTAATAAGATTGATTTGGCCAATTTGGTCATCCCAATGATCCATTTTGATCAGTGATGCTAATGTTTTCATCTGGGAGATAGACCTTTGGAAATATTTAACACATTCATTTAACAAATGTCCAGTTAAATCCGATTATGGACCAGGCACGTGTGATGAGGAGCTGTCCTCACAGCCATCGATAAAGCAGACACAGTCTATGTGCTCTGTGTTGTCAAGTGTTTATCTACTGTTATTACATCCTCAGCCAGCACATTCATATACAAGACTACATACACAAAAGGTGAACTTCTATTCAGTACTTTGAGGCAAAGAGGAGTCCCTAATAATTATATAAGTTGCCAAAATAGTCCTGAATTGCCTGATACCAAACTTACTTTCATATTTTATTTTATTTTATTTTACTTGAGATGGAGTCTCACTCTATCGCCTAGGCTGGAGTGCAGTGGCCTGATCTTGGCTCACTGCAACCTCTGCTGCCTGGGTTCAAGCAATTCTCCTGCCTCAGCCTCCTTGAGTGGCTGGGATTACAGGCCCCTGCCACTATGCCTGGCTAATTTTTGTATTTTTAGTGGAGACAGGGTTTCACCATGTTGGCCAGGCTGGCCTTGAACCTCTGACCTCATGATCCATCCACCTCAGCCTCCAAAAGTGCTGGGATTACAGGCGTGAGCCACCATGCCCGGCTGATTTCATCTTTTAATAAGTCGCACTGATTTTTTTTTTTTTTTTCTGAGATGGAATCTTGCTCTGTTGCCCAGGCTGATATGCAGTGGCATGATCTCGGCTCACTGCAACCTCCACCTCCCAAGTTCAAGTGATTCCCCTGCCTCAGCCTCCCAAGTAGCTGAGATTACAGGTGCACACCTCCAGACTCAGCTAAACTTTGTATTTTTAGTAGAGACAGGGTTTTACCATGTTGGCCAGACTGGTTGTGAACTCCTGACCTCAGGTGAGCCACCTGCCTCAGCCTCCCAAAGTTGTAGGCTTACAGGTGTGAGCTACCGCGCCCGGCCTTGATTATGTAGAATATGTTAAAATACTGTATTTAAAAATAAAAGTATTGGGCTGGGTGTGGTGTCTCACGCCTGTAATTCCAGCACTTTGGGAGGCCAAGGTGGGCAGATCATGAGGTCAAGAGATCAAGACCATCCTGGCCAACATGGTGAAACCCTGTCTCTACTAAAAATACAAAAGTTAGCTGGGCATGGTGGCACATGCCTGTAGTCCCAGCTACTCAGGAGGCTGAGGCAGGAGAATCACTTGAACCCGGGAGGTGGAGGCTGCAGTGAGCTAAGATCGCACCACTGCACTCCAGCCTGGCAACAGAGCGAGACTCCGTCTCAAAAAAATAAAAAATAAAATAAAATAAAATAATTTTGACTTTAATTTGTATTTTGAATAAGTCAGAATTGCCAATCTGTGTAAAAGTCACTTAAGTCAATTCATTAAGTGATCAGTGAGCACTGTGTGTGATCCCTGGGGGAAAACAATCTACCACACCCCAGTGACAATTCATTTAATTTGTTGTAATAGATAATTATCCCACTTGTCTTTGATGTTTATATCTTCTGATCATGACGGATTTTTTTTTTAAACATGTTTGTAGATTTGCTTTACTAATGTTGTATGTGAGT